GGAAAGGAAGGAAAGGGAAGGGAAGGAGAGGTGGTGCGAGAGTAGAGAGAGAGAGAGAGAGAGAGAGAGAGAGAGAGCATGGAGTGAGCGTTGCAACGAGTTTGACGATTCCGGGGAATGGTCCTTCGGTACGGGCACTGTCATTGGCAGGGGCATTATGGGGCTTTCCCTTTGGCCTTGAAATTCTCAAAGCCCATGTATCTTATATGCCTCTTTGGACGCTTTTGTCCTCGCTTTTATGACGGAGATGAAAGAAATAGCAAAAGGCCCAGAGACTAAAAGCCTCCAACCTTTTCTATTAATGACGAATATACCCTAAAAGGTCAAAACTTTCTCTCCCCTCTAAATTTGACCCCCCACTTAATATAGCTTAAAAAAGCAAAGTTTGGAACAACTTTTTAATGAATTTCCCCGATAAAATGAGCACCTTCCTTTAATCAGATTATTCCTCAATTCGAATGCCCATTTTTTTTTAGAAAGGGGCTGTAGGGTAGCTATAGACTCGCCCGGTAGACTTGACTTGGGGTCCGAGTATGGGTCTAATTTTTAGACCCAATGGATTAGGTTTGGGTCTAAAATTTGAACAATGAATACTATTTGGGTTTGGATTTGGATTCAAGTCCAACTGAACCCAACCTGTACTTGACTTATACCCATAAATCGTTGAAAATAAAATATTTTATTTTAAACCTTAATTGTTTTGGTGTGTTAAAAATTGTATATAATAAGAATCAATAATCAACTATTAAACAACAAATCAAACAGCTTGAAATCTATTGGATGGTGCTTATGACCTTGTTGTCAATAAAATAGATATTTGATAGTAAAAAAAAAGCAAAAAAAAAAAAGTTCATATTTATAGGGTCGCAATGGATCCGATCAGACCGATGGGTATGGATATATGTATGGGTCTAATTTTTGGACCAAACAAACTTGGTTCAAGTCGAAAACCTGGAACATAATACTATTTTCAATCAAATCTGACCCATACCCAACCCGAGTCCACCCCCTAAAGAGCTAGGGTTGTGGCAGTAACACCCCATGATTCAATTGTACGTTGCGCTTCTATTTCCATTAGCACCTCCATTACCCTTAAAAAAAACAACAACAACAAAAAAACAAAAAAAAGTCCCTTTGTTATATTTTTTGGGCGGGGTAAAAAAAAAAACTAAATCTTCGGAGGGGCAGATTGGTTGTTTAAGATATCAATGGGGTGTTCTCTGTCATAGCAAATATAGTGGGGGTTGGTTCTTGTCAATCTCAATCAACCCCTGATAAGCGCCAAATCGACCTCTCGTCCCCCTTCTCTCTCTAGAGAATGCATAAAACTACAAACTGAACATATTCCCTTCTCTCTTCTCTCTCTCTGTAATCCAAGCTGACCCCTCTGGTCCGAAACTCACCCTTTCCTCTCTCTGAAAATAAACTACAAACCATACTGTCCGAATCATCGAGCCCTCTCTCTCTCTCTCTAAACTGCAAACGGCCATATTCCCTCCCAATAGGCTGCCCCCTTCTCTCTCTCTCTCTCTCAGAGGTTTAATGGAAATCCTTATTCCAATCCCCAATTCTCACCCATTACCAAACACCCAACCGTGATTTCGCCCAAAGCCCACCCTGTCTCATCCTTTAATGGGCTTTTCCAATCACCCAAATGGATACACACACCATTGAACCAACAATCCTAATACCCAAACCTCATCTGAACGAACACAAGCATGAGTTTCTCTATCTACCATCATCAACATGACCAACCTCGGATCCTTTCGAAACTGTGCGAATCAAACTCCCTTTTGTGACCATGGTTCCTTCTCACTTCCCTTCTCCTCAGACTCGAAACCATAACGGCAAGGGATGCTTCTTGGAACCAGGCAATTTCATGGAAGATTTTGCACTCTGTTTGTACCAAATTAACTGTGACAATTACATTGGATCAGACCTAACCAGTGATTTCATGGCTGAAGAGGACTCGAGAACCAGTAGCTTCAACGAAGCTGGATCAAGCTCCAGGGTTCTTCAAGAAGAAGAAGATAACTGGCTCCAATTAGGGTTAGGGTTAGGGCAAAGAGAAAATCGCCATGAAAGCAGCAGAGGATTAGTAGAGCTCGAGCTTTTGCCTAATCGCCAAATCGAGCTGGCTAATATTAGGCCCCCTCCCTTCGTGTTAAATTTACAGAGACAAAACCATCCTCCTTTTTTGGGCGGTTTCCCAGCTCCTAGAGCGGTTTTCAGGCCACCGGAAAGTCAGTGGGCTTGGAATTACCCAGCAAATGTTAATGTTTCGGGTCTTTACGGGAGGCCCTTGCCGGAAAATCAACGGGGCTTAAACTTTCCGGCAATTTTGCCTGCCAAAAGTGGCCTGAGAATTGTGGACACGCCTCAAAGGACGAATTCAGGCGTTTGGTTCGTTTTAGAAGCGAATCAGAACCTGTAAGAGAAAACCCAGATGGGGTTTGATATTTTCTTTTATTTTCATATATTTTTGGGTTCTTTTGATCGATAAAAGTTGGGTTCTAATGATTATTCCTTTTTTGTTTTTGGTGTATTCTTATTGCAGAGAGAAAGATCGAGTTTTGCCTCAGATACCAAGGAGCTACTTGAGAATCAAGTATGGGTGCTGCTGCTGAAATTGTGGCTCTTCTCTTTCTCTCTCTAACTCACTTCATCTCTCTTTCTCTCTTTCTCTCTCTGTCTTTTTAATTTTTTGTTTTTTCACCCCATGCAACCGTGACTAATCAATGCAGCGGTTATGATTACCGCAGGTCTTTCTCCTTTCTTTTCCATCTTTTTCTCTCTCTAAAAACTGCCTTCTCTCTCATGTTTACAAGGGACGGCAAGATGACGGTTCAGGTGGTGATGAAGTACCTGGCTAAGAAGCTTGGACTGGGCAGTGAATCAGAGGTATTTCTCTCTCTCTCTCTAAATGTTCCAAAAGGAGTTGGCTATCTCTCTCTCTATGTGAATGTTTCAACAGTAGTTGGGTTTTCTCTCTCTAGAATCAGTTTGGTCACACATACATCGTGTATCTCCTTCGATTGGGCAGAAAGGACCACATTTAGAGACGCCATGAAAGCTTACCGACTGACATAATTCCAAAACCAAACATTCAAATATACAATCCACATTAGCGATAGCTTACTCTACCACATATTGCAAACTCTTGTCATCCTCCAGGATAAAGGCTTGTTTGGGAGTTGTTCTTGCCTTGATTAAGGACAATACCTTCAATATTACCTTCGATATATTGTCATTGTCAAAAAAAAAAAAAAAAAAAAAACAATTACCTTCAATATTACATGCTCTACGCCTTCTATAGGTTCAAGGTTCTAGGGTTTTGTAGTTAGAGAATAACTTCTATTTCTCCTTCTTTTTAGTTTTCGTTAAGCAAAAATAACCCATTTTTGGTAATACACATTACTCATTCTAGAACCCATTTAAATGCTTTCTCATAAGGTGTATGAGTTTTTTATTTTTTGTCAGCAGATGAGGAGATAATTGGTATTCCTATAAGAATCCTAGGATTTACTGCAAAAGAACAATATTAGGAATCAAGGACCACCAAAAATTTATGGTTTATTTTATTGATCTAACCCCATTTTAATTATTATTTAATACTCAAGCCTAAGTTCTCCACTGATTAGCTCACGTCCTTAAGCAATTGCAGTTAAAGTAGAGGCTTTACTGCTTGTGTATGCAGTGCCCTAGGACCCGTAACCCTAAATCGAAGAAAAAAACAAGGGCTTGCATTCTTTCTCTTCAATACAGCCTGATTGATTTATGAGCCATAGAGAAGATTTCCCTTAGCTTTTTTCTCTTATGGAATTTGAAGGCCCATTTATTTGTATATCATTCTACTTCATTGATGAAGATTAGGTTCTAATTCTACTTTCTTTTCTAATTTTGATGAAATCAAAACAATCGCTTCTCGCTAGCTTAAATTGACATCAGGAAGCTTAGATGAAAGTGTTAACCTTTAAATAAACCTTAAATTTAAAGATTTTCATTGTCTAATACACATTGTATAATTTAAGTTGAGTTTAACTCTCAATCTGCTATATTCTGATCGACACCAAATCAGTAACAATGCCGGATGAGTCACAAAGTGTAGCACATTAGCTCCTTGCTAATGTTTGCTTTGTGCCAGGCCAAAACATGTATAAAGAGCAAAACATTTTAGGCTTTATTTGTTAAATTTGTAGGAATCATCCTGAATAAGATGGACATAGATTATTTGTTTTTTGCTCGAAGCCCAAGTTCATTTTAAATATGCTATATGTTTGTGTTCTAACATTGATGTGCTTCATAGGCTTCAATAGTCCAGCATTCTATTGTGTAGATAAGCCACATTTGGTTGAAAAGTAAATGAAAACTGTGTATCACTATCAGCAAGTTGTTTGATCTCTAAGGCCTGGTTTGGACAGAGTCGAGAGTAGTACTATATTTTTGTTTTTTCTCACGTACATCAGTAAATAGTTTTAGGAAGTGTTTGGTCCACTCCATCTAATCATGATTGAGGACCGTGTCTCTTCCCCGCTTATTTGGATGAGAAAAAGTTTATATAAGGTTGCAACCTTACTTGTAGAAGTAAGGTTGTATTAATCCACACTGTCCATTTTATTTGGACAGTGTAGATTTAATATTATTTTAAATAACGTACTACCGTTTGACACTGGATGGTATAGTATATTCCAACCTTACTTTTACCAATAAAGTTGCAACCTTATAGAAACAGCTCCGAAATGCCACCAAATGCTTCCAAACGAAATTACCAATGTCCAAACTTCGCCCGACAAAAAATGAGTTGTATATGGCATGCATTTCTTGAGCTACTGTTATAGACTTACGCATGTGTGTTCTTTACTTGTGCCTCGGATTTTCTTACACACCTAACAGTATACTCATACAGCTCACTTGTATCTACATCTATAGACATATATAGTGCTAAAATAAATACTCCAATGTGATCGATAATGGTAGACATTCCACTTTTATAAAGCATATTTATTTAAAACCATCTTGCTAGATTGCTCAAACAAAGACTACCTGAACTAGTATTGTATCTTAAAAGTATTTTAATTGGGTTTAGTTTTTTGTGTCTAAGCTTGTACCATTGAAATAAAATGATTTTCATGGTTTTTGATACCTGGAAGTATTATCTAGCCTAAGTTCAAATTTTTTATTTGTTTCTTACTGCATAAAAATATTCTAAATATATCACAAAAATGAATGAGTTATGTAGGTATGCAAATTGACGAACAGTTGGTCGAAACTCTCCTATGTTTAGTTTTCTTTATGTACCCAATTTTTGTTTCGTTTTTCTTTCTCTAAGGCAGCCAAATAGGAAAAGGAAAGTGTCATGTAGAATAGTGAAAATATGATACAAATTTTCTAAATTTGAGCTTGGCTTCTTCAATTTAATGACATATTTACCTCGAAAAAACTATTAATGTATACTCTTCCATCCCCTTGAAACCATTGTTGTGTAAAGTGTGGTAAATGTGCATCTCTTAATTTATCCAACTGCTATGTTTATGCAAAAAGCAGTTTATAGTTTAAAGATGAAACTCTTGTTCTCCTGGTCTAGTGATTGCATATCTCTTGTTGAAAATCACAGTTTCATTTATGTTTACTTCTTTGATCATAGGTTTCAAGAATAAATATCTTTTCTCAGTCACTTTAAACTGTGCAATAATGATCTCATATTTAGTTAGCTATCTACTGCTAAGAACTTTTAGCAAGATTAAGTAGCAGTATCATCTTCTTTGTGGTAGTCTATATAAGTCCTTATGTTTTTAGTTTTATTTTTCAGCATACTTGTTCTTGATAAGCTTACTTCTTAAGAAATCAAACTGTTGCGTATAAAGAACACTAAAAATAACTGGCATAAACAATTCAGAAAAGATAGTCCTATTCGCCCTCAGAAAAATGGGTACCTACATAGTGAGATCTTCTCTGCGCACTGCACCTCTTGTCTGAACTCTCGATCGGAGAGTAGTTCTCATCCTTCTTATCGAACCATTTTGTACAATAATAAAACCATCTTTGAAATTTCACTTATATATATTCCCTCTTGTTAATTTCCTCTAAATGTTCATACAAGAACGATTCATATATTAATTGGGTTTTGGGGGTACAGATTGGTACATCAAGATGAACCATTATCTCTTTTGTTTATTTTTTTTCTTTTTGATAAATAAAATGAGCCACTATCTTGATATGTATAGTAATTATAGTTTCATATTGAAATACATACTCGAGCTTGACTTTAGGGTAAATCTTCTTTTTTTTCCTTTTCGATAAATAAAATGAGCCATTATCTTCATATGTATAGTAATTATAGTTTCATATTGACTTACATATTCGACCTTGACATAGAAATTGATTTTAGGAGAATATTGACTACTGAGAATGTTAATAACATTTATTTGTAGAGACATGATACCTAAAATAAGTAGACCATTCATTCTCCGAGCTAGACATAGTAGCACTTTTTAGGGACTTACAACAAATTCTATGATTGGGGTGGATGGCATGTAGCAAGTCGAATTTAGTTGTTAGAAAGGTAGCATAAAGTATAAAAATGATCCATCCCTATGAATTGGTTTATATGATGTCTCAAATGGAACTTTGCAATCCTAGAGAAGTAATCTTCTCTCTCTAGAATGAATGTCCTGTGTAGAGAGAGAGAGATTTGACTTCACAAAGGGAAACAATTTGACCTAACAAGATGGCCTAAACAAGATCCATTTTAAATGAGAAACAACAATTAGACCCAATGAGGGAGTGAGGACGTGGGCTTAGACAGCTCACGAAGGACCAACACCTTGTAAATTCATGAATATTGTAACCCATGCATCACATTAGGAAACCCTAAAAACCACTCAAAACCCTAAAAAAACTGTTCATGGTGGGTTGGAAGGAATGCATGAAAGTTATTCGTTTGTGAAAGGAATGCACGAAGCTTATAATAATACAAGTAAACGATAAATATGAGATTTTATGGATTATTCTTTTTCTTTTATGTGGGTTTCTCCTAAGTCACCTCTTGTTTTTAGGCGTTTTCATTGGGTGATGCTGGAATTAGGGTTTTTTTATGGGGTGCAAGATTATTTAGGGTTTTTTTTTATGGGGTGTGAGAATATTTAGGATTTTCTAGGGTTTTTTTTGGGCTGGTTTGCTAGGTTAGGTATGTTGTTGTGGCATTGAATAGAATAAAGAGGAACATTAGGGCATGAGAGAGAAGAACGTGAATGTAAAATACTAAACGTGCATGAGTTCATCACGCTATGAGCCATGAAAGCCTTTAGTTTTCCCATTTTACCCTTTTGGGAAAAGAATTGGTCTAATTTGTCGCCGCTCTTTATGGGTCCGCCACCTTTTTATTTGCCCCTTATTGATGTGAATATAAAAGCCATTTAAATACGAAATTTTGGTGTATCTTTTGGTTAAGGTGGTTTTACCCCCAACTTATTGTAAAAGACGACTATATCCATGTCATGTCCTAATTTTATAAAGGAACTAAATTTATATAAGGCAAAAGCCCTAAGCAATCAAATTTAAACGCACCTCAAAGATTGGGAAGATGTTTTGATGCTTAAAAATCCCCAAATCAATCATCTCAACCTCAAGATATATGAACATGAAAAAATTTGGGTATCAAGTCTTGGAAATAGTGCATTTTGTAAAGTATTTTTTGGACTGTCAATTTTCAAGTGTTCTTAGATATGCTAAATCTACGCTATTTTTTAAGATTTAAATTTTATAATTAGAGATGAAAATAAATTTTTAGACTGTTAGAAAGATTTTCAGAACTAAAATAACATATTTTGATATTGTTTCAAGGTGTGCCTTACTTTGACCATTTAGGGCGTCAGCCTTATACGAACCACACCTTTTCATAA